TTCATGTTTGAAAAAACATCAAATATTACTGTCAAATTTTTAATAAGTTGTACAAAACAAAAGTACTGTATTACAAATTAAAATAAGAAGTAGATTTTTAAAAATATTTAATTGTTATTAATAATAATTTTAAAGACATAAATAAATAATAAAAATTCGGGCTACAATAACTTTAATGTGCACCTATGTATTAAACAATTAATATGCAACAGATATCTAATTGTTAAGGTATTAAAACTTACATAGTAGCACACAAAATATTCAATGAGAAAATTGAGGTTTGTCTGCTGCAACCACCAGAGAATAGATATTTACATTTAAAATTTACAAATGTGTGTGTAAATATTTTCGTCCAAAATGAGTGGTTTCAAAAAGTTAAATCGGAGAATTTCTTCGAGAAAATTTCTGATACACACATGCTAAATTATATTCACAAAATACAAAAAAATGAAATAAAAAAGAGCAACATACACGATTATTTTTGTATTTGAATAAATATTTTCTTGGATGCAAAACCTGAGAAATAAATTTTTTTGCACCGTTGGTATGCTAAATTTCACAGAAACGAAGAAATTAGGTTTTCATTAACGAGAAAAGTATTTTAAACCCATATAGATTTTTTACGAAAGTTGTCCGCAAAAAAATTACAACTAATATATTTTAGTTCGCGGACCACAAAAAAAGGCTTCTCGGGCCGGATGTGGCCCCCGGGCCGCCAGTTGAAAACCCCTGGTCTAGAGATAGAAATTCGATTTTCTCCCTTTTATATTTAACTCATTTTCGGCCAAAGGTGCGTAAACGCACCATTTCAATGAATATTTTTTTACTAACACGGAGACACATATTTTTCACTAATTTTATTTTGCTACTTTTGTCAAGTGTTTATGAAGACATTTATAAAACATTAGTAATTCAATTGGAGTAAACACTTTCTGTTGAAGAATTTTTGAACTACACTAGTTACCTAACGTGAAATGGTTATTGACAAATTCGACTTTTTGAATTGCTTTCCATTTGATGGTTATTTGAAAGCATTTATTTTTTTTTAAATCGATTTTTTTTCGATAAGACATGTTTAGTGTCTACAAAGTGATGCTTATCTTTTCAGATAAGTTCAGTGGTATGGATGCTACGTAATACGTTAAACAGCAGTTATCAGTTTTGATAACACTTACCATTGATAGAATATCAGTTTAAGTCTCTAGAATAATCATGATTGATTTGTTAGAGCTTACATAAATTAAGATTACTTAAGGTTGAAAATTTCATCAAGATAAATAAAAATTTAAACTTTATTAAGGGAAGTCGGATGCTTTATCCCAGCAGGTGTAGGATGGCCGTTTTTTCTGAAAAAAAAAAACTTTTAGAACTTCAAGTTTGAAAAATTTATTTTTCTAGAATGTTTCAATGATTGATATTAATGATAATTTTAAATTCGACTTTTGGAATTGGAACTTTCTTCGTAAAATTGGCTTTAAATCTAAAAAAAAAAAAAAAAAACATAATAACAACAAGGGAAAGAAACAAACAAATGGCAAAAAAAAAAAAAAAATTACTTACCCCTGAAAAATGTGCACCATAACATGACAACACAAAACATATTTTTGGAAATCGATTCCGTAGAAAACTTTTCCAAATTGGGCCATTTTTTTTACAAATGCTGGAATAGAGCCGCGATGGCTCTGGGTATAGAGTGTTCACCTTCCAATGAGGTGAACCGGGTTCGAATCCCAGCAATGGCTGGTCGATACGAATTCCACACTCACTGACCACAGTGCCGATTTGAAATATCCTCAGTGGTAGACGGATAATAGAGTCCCCTTGCCGTCAGGCTAACCGTGGGAGGGGCTCGTGGTCTTCCTCTCCATGTAACGCAAATACTGGTTAGTTCCATAAAAAAAAAACCTACACGAAGGCAAATTTCTCCCAGTACTTAATCCCGGAGCTCCCTTGTCTTCTGGATTGGGTTCAAAATTACAAGGCTACGGAGTTTAACATTAGTATTCGTAAACCCAAAATTATGGTGGCTGTTCAACGACGGTTATAAAATAAAATGCTGACATAGAAAATCTGACACCCTAATAAGCAAAATTCAAAAACAATAGTACGGGGTACAATTATAGTTGTTTGAATTAATTTTTTAAATTCTCAAAAGTTGATTTTTAAGTTCATTTCAATTATACTTTAATTCCACTTTGAAATAAAAAAAAATACTTAACTTTTTGCCATATTCCCCTTATTGTATTCTAGTAGAAAATGACTCAAATTCGTAACTTCTAACGCAAGCAAGAGTGAGGTCAACTATATCGTTCATGGGCTGCAAAAGCGGCACAACTCAAAAAATCATGTTTTGAAATAAGTGGGCTTAAAGTTTTCATTGCTAAGGAAAATGTATAAGAAATGTTTAGTTAGCTAAGACGAAGATTACCTTCAAGTTGAATTATGAGTTGTGCTAGCATTGCTGCTGAAAAGAATGTGTATTTTCATATTTACACCTGTTCTTAGTCCAAAACTCGCGTTTTTTGAGTTGTGCCACTATTGCAGCCCATGAGCGATATATTTAAGGAAGCTCATAAAAAAAAAATCAATTATGCAATAAAATAAAATCTTAATTGGGTAAAGCAAGCTAATGCAGTTTATTTCGGCTTTATAGTTATAGGTAAAAGTTTCAATAAAAAAAAATATTTATTAAGCAAATACTATTAATAAAAATTGTAAAATGTCTATATTTTTGTATCAGTTGTTCATGCAATTATTTTTTTATGAGAAACTATGAGGAAAATCTTAATTTTGCCCACCTCCAAGGCCGTAGACAGGGATGCCACCTTGATCCGGGCAACAGATAAATGTTTTTGAATGGTAGTCTATTAATGTATGATTCTTTGTTTTGTAAATTCGATTTATAAGATTTCTACTCATCATTACACTTCAAGGGCTTCTGTAATTCATCCCCCCCCCCCAATTTTTTTTTTTGCTAACGTCCCCCTTCCATGTTAGCTTGTTCGAAATAGTGCTACGTTGCTTCTTTTATTTATGTACTTAAAAAAAAAATTCTCTCGTCTAAATTCAATGCCAAACTATTCGTTTTAGTTAGTGTAAAAATTCCCCCTCTCCCCAAGCTTTAAGTGGGCGCATCGTGCGCCCACCTTCCCCCCTGATGGGGGCCCCTGCATTTTGTAACAGTTAAGTCGCATTGAGCCTTTTATAAAGTTGGTAAAATTAACTGAAAATCAACAATTTAGTTTGTAGTTCCTTACTGTTTTTTAAAATATTTTGTCGTATCCGGAGCAATTGTCATCTTTGCATATAGTGCAATGAATCAACATTAATTGCTACAGCCATCTGATAAGGATGCCTACACCAAATAAAAATGGGTTGAATTTACAATTTTTATTTTGGACATATTATGTGGAGTTTAAGAATAATTTTTCGGTTACTTATAGCCATCTGTTTTACATGAATCACATTAGGATGCAGAGGGCATTTGATTATCTATTTGTATTAAAGTAATTAATGCAAGTGGATAAAGCTGGGTAATTTTTTTTACTTAATTTTTCGGTAAAACATTTAAAACAAAATGCTATTATGGAATGAACCTGTAAAGAGGGCAAATGGAAAATTTCAAAAATATGAGCAATATTTTTTTAAAAAGTAAGTCTATATAGCTTTAATTCATGAATTAATACATTTTTAGCAAGAATTACTTGTGAATTAATTGCATAAAGTGTGATTTTTATAAAGGTTTAGCCAATGACATGCAAAATTTAGGTGAAGTTGTTCGCTGTTCTAATATTTACACAACAAGTTTTTCTATTTCAGCACAGCATTAGCACAGTTAGTTACACACCCTATCATCGGCTTAAAGACTGTTTTATTTTTTGAAGGCTCTGTCGTCCAATTCCCCTTTGTAGTGAGCAATCTGCTCTTTTTTTAATGAATAGCTAGTCAAATTTTAATTTTCTGACGTGGCCAAGTTAACTAAGCTTAAAGTCAAGGCAGGAATACATTCATCATTTCTCTGAATATAAATAAAAATAGGTTCTGAAGCAGGAAAGGCCCATTTGCATTGTGTATTGTTGTAACAGTTATTCATACTCGATCGTCTTTGTTGTGGTTGTCATATTGAGGAGGAGACTTCACAACATATCTTTTGTGAGGTCTATTCTGCTCTAAGATTTGAGCATCTGCGACAACCTTGTGTTAAGGCCTGGGAACTACACTATATTTCTGAACTTTGTTTCAGCTAAAAAGCTATTCCGCTAATCATTATCTAGGGTTTGGGTACAACTCTGGTCGATGTGCCTTGCTCCTCGAGCTGCCTAACCTTTAAGTCTAACATGAATGTCATGTTAAGTTTTGTCTATCTTCAGCTAGCACATTTAATGCTATTTTATGAAAATGGCGAATAATATCGATCTGAAAAAATTCACAGAATATGAAAAGCATCTGTGACCTAATTTTTAAAGCAATTAAAGTTATTCCAATGGCAGGGATCATAAAAATAAGAAAGAATGAAGAACTATTAATTGATTTTAACCATTTTTATCTATGAGGAAAAATATTGCACAAATTGGTTATTTTTATTTTTAATATTTTCTTAAATATTCAAGTTATTTGTCCTTTCTAAAGCAAGATAGTTAATATTGTTTAAAATTATAGCTGCTTTGCTTCGGCACTTAAACTGTTTTTTTGTTGTTGTTTTCCTTTGCAAAAAACATTTGTTAAAACCCCCTTAAATTTATGATTTTATTACAATAATTTTCCAAGGGGTTGGATAATATTTAGAGATAACAATATACAGTTTTGATAAATTCTTTTTTTTTTGAATTTTCAAGCTTTGGTTTACCAATAAAATACAATTATAATAAGTATAAGTACAGTTTTGAAATTAAATATGTAAACTAATAATGAATAAATATGTTTTCTATGTCTTATAATACTATGCTTTCATAAAATATTTGAATGGGAAAGAAACCTTAAAAATGAATGACAGTGATGCATTTTTTTTCAGAAAACAGACATAATTTTAATGCATAAACATACATATTTACAGGTTATGAAAGTGTCACGTTACATAACAAAGATAGAGCAAAGTGCTCACAAAACTAATTCTTTTCATATTATGATGTACAAATGCGCATTAGTGAATAGTATGTACAATGAATATAACAAGGCATCTTTAATTTTTATGCTTAATATACTTTTTTCACCATTTTTTATGAACATCAGATGAAAGCTTTTTGTTTTTATCCTAGTGAAGCATGTAAGAAAAAAAGAAAAGGAAAATTAGTCAGAGCAATAATAAAAAAAAAAAAAACTCAGTAATATTTTATTTCCTAGTCACACATAATACTGTAAGTCTGTGTGATGTCCACAACATGCAATTGATAGTGACTTAGAAAGTAGAAGTACCAACTTTCCAAACTAGCTATCCGTAATCAAAAGTGCAATAATACACATAATATAAACAAAATTCAAATTCAATTTCAGGGTGCTTTTGCTACTTAAATCTACATAGGTATGTACACAATATTATGCACGAAATTATTATTGAACAAAAAAGTAATACTTAATTGTTACCTTTTTTTTCAATATCCGCAACAAAATTTCATAGCTCTTGGTAAAAAAAAAAAATTCTTTAACAGATTACAAAAATTTTCCCAAATCGTAATTTTTATTACTCAACCAAAAGACTGTAATCTTGACAAGGAAATTGTAATAGCTGGCACTTCTGAGAAAATAATATTTTTGCATTGAGAAAACAATATTTTTGCATTGAGAAAACAATAATTTTGCATTGAGAAAACAATAATTTTGCATTGAGAAAATAATAATTTTGCATTGAGAAAACAATAATTTTGCACTGAAGAGTCGAGTGGATGAACACAGTTAATTACAGTCAAAATATAGGAAAACTTTGCATGCATATTTTTGATCATAAACATGTTAAAATGAGTTTTTATATTTTGCAACCCATCGCTCTATGCCCCAAATTGATCACCCAAAAAGTATTTCGGTATCGATGATCAAGTATTCACCAATAAAATCAAGAATCCCTCAAAAGAATTGTGATTTTTTTTTGTAGCAATCAATCCATATATTAATCGACCGTTTGTAGCGATAATTTTTTAATCTTCAATTTTTCGGAATAAAATAAGAAAAATAATTTTTTAATGCAAGAGAGATTTAGTTTAAAAATAGAGAAAGTTCGGGAGTTTATTTCTACATGTGATGTGCAGTCAATAAGAAAAAGAGGTGGATGCTTTTCAAAACTATGTTACTCAGAAAAATTGAGTTGGACTTGAAACATGGTAGCTGCGGGATGAAAGATTTATGCACTTGTCATTCATTAGGTAACCGTATTTGTCATGTAAACAATGCTATTAGAATGACATCTAGGAACCATGAGTTAATTAAATTTTTTTTATAAGGAATTTTTACAGAAATTTAAATGGGAAGTTCCAAATTGGGAGCATTCGACGGACTCAAATAGGAAAAATAGTTACTCAGAAAAATTGAGTTGGATTTGAAATGTGGTTGCTGCTGGATGAAAAAAAGATCTACACACTTGTCATTCATTAGGTAACCATATTTGTCATGCAAACAATGCTATTAGAATGACATCTAGGAACCAGGAGTTAATTCAATTGTTTTTATAAGGAATTCTTACAGAAATTTAAATGGGAAATTCTAAATTGGGTGCACTCGGCGGGAAAAATGATTTTTTAAAGTAAAGAATGGTGTGACAAGTCCCTAAGCGAACAACATATTTGAGTCTCATTGACTAAATTGAGGAAATAGCCTTTAACTTGTTATTTATTGACTGAATCTAATACTTTGTGCATAAATTACTCAATGTAAAGTCTCCCTATATTTTAACACATAAAAACATTTATGGCAATTTTGGAGAAATGTGTGTATATATATATTTACATATAAAGATATTGGATCATGTATGGTGGTACTAAAAATACAAATCATTTTTTGTTTTGCAAAGTCTTCACATGAAAAAGAAATACAACGGGAGTTGTAAAAAGAATTATAATAAGGGTTGTAGAAAGAAGTATAATATCTATATAATTTAAAAGTTAATTTTTTGAAATTCAATAAAGTGTTAATTCACACTTTATTTGAAGTAAGAAAAAAAATGAAAGATAAAATCTGATTCAAAGCCCAATATAATAACTACACTAAGAAAAAAGTAATTTCAGAAGAGGGAAAAAAAGTAAAATATAATTCAAACAGAATCAACATAAATTTTTTCTCCATGTGGCGTAAAGTGAAGAATACAGAGAAGGCACACAAAAAAATATATTTCACCCTAATATTCTATAAATTTTTTAAGTTTTATAATCAAAACACTATGTTCAGTAATGCAGATAACATGGTGGTTCTTGAGGACATATATTTTAAAATCAAATAGAGAAAAAGAGGCATTGTTAAAGAAATATATATATTGGTCAAAAATTGCATTACATATATAATATATTCCCTTAGTGTTAATGGTAATAATATGAAATCCTTAATGGCTTGAATACAAACAATTTTCTTATACATTTTTAGCTCTGGAACTCTATATTTTCCATATTGTGGCTACTTTATATTAAGGTAAAGAAGTTCAAATTTGTAGGAAAAAAATTACGAAGTAATTTTTGAAACTAAAAATATCTTATGCAGACTTAACATCTTAGAATGTAAACTTTAGATTTAAAGAAATTGCAAAAAAAAAAAAAAATAAAAAAAAAATTTTTTTTTTTTAGTTCCTTTGCATTTTTAGTTAAAATTATATATTAGTATTGAGTTGGAAGAGGCGAGACAAAAAAAAATTTGATTAAATTTGTGTTTTAGAATGTTTTTATTAATTAAGTTATAAAAACACACACAGCCATGTATAACATTGCACTCAAAATAGAGAAATGAACAGGCTAAGTTTATAAATATGAACTCCATCTAATCAATTTTTGTAAAGTTGTTACATAGTCATACGGGAAAGAAAAAAAAATTGTAAATTGTTACAAAAAATAGTGCCCTAAAATTTAATTCAGGTATTTTGATGCATTATATCTGCAGCTACAACTTTTGTGCCCACTCTGTATAAAGTTTAAATAATTCTTTAAAGACACAAGACAATTTTTGAAGCATAATAAGCAAGCAATATAAGTAAATTCTTGCAAACTTTTTGTAAATGTATTTAGAAATGACAAAAAAAAAAAAAAAAGAAGTTTGTCCCTAGCTTTCAGACACTTAACTAAACAACACTAAAAAAAACAGCACATAGGTTAATCAAGAACCATTTGATCACCAAAATCTTTTACATTTAAATAGAAATAATCTAAAAAATTTTCCTTTTAAAATAATTATTTGCAACTTAGAAAATTAAAGATATTATTTGTCTCAATGTATTTCTCAGGTTTATTCCCAAGTTTAATTTAAAAGAACATAGGGAAAACTTTTTATTCCAAAAGGATTCAACATAAAGGTGCAAAAATTGTTCACAGAGGCAAGAAAATATGTATTAACTTTCATGTTTTAATTGGATAGAAATAGAATAAATTTTTTTTCTCCCTTTTGTGTTAGAATAGCTCCTGTATTTAATAAAGTTACATTTAAGTAATACCATTTGAAAGATAAAATTAATTGGTCAGATAAATACGTAACTTTATGTTACATTTCAAGTAACAGTCACCATTAGATTCCTGTATAAAGATACATGAGCAGCTGATATTTTTGTTTCACTTGAAACTTGATTTTAATTTTAGAAGATTAATAAGCATTGTTCCGAATAATAAAAGCAGTGATGCATTGTGTATTGGTTCATGAAAAGTATAATAAACACTTTGCCTAAAACAAAGACAATCAAATAATATAACAAAAAAATGAAAATAGTCATTTCGTGATGAATGCCGATGATTTATGAAATATTTAAAACATTGTGCTTAATATAAAAATGCCAAACAAACATCAAGATAGAATTTATTAGTCTTAATACTCAAAATATTTTTTATAAATAAATATGTATTTAATTTTGCACACAACTTTACATAATACGAGATAACATGAAAAATATAACAAATATGAGTATTTTCTTAAAAATTACAGCTTAACTACAACTCATGTGCCGAATAAATATATAATTTATAGTAAAAATATCTTTAGTCAATTTTACAGTTATAAACTTTTCAACATACCTTGAAAGTTTATCGGAAGTTATTTAAAAATTACTCTTTTCTCTGTACATTTCAAAAAAATATGATGAGATGAATAAAGCAGAATTAATTATGTACAATTTCAGTTGATCAAGGGGCAATTTTATAAATGTACTAGTGTTTTTAAATTGTTCATACCTCTGGACTCAATATCACATAAAAGTTGTATTGCTCATTCACATTAGTTAAAAAACGAAGCTTTAATTTAGAGTTCCACGACACTGAGGCGCACCACAAAGACAAGATATCTTTTCTTCTTCAATTGGAAATTTATAATCGTAGGTGATTTCTTCGTTAACATTGATAGGTTGTTTTGAATATATTACAATCTTTTTCAGTCCTTCAACAGTAATAATTTTTGCATAACAATTTGGCTGAAAAATATAAAAAACATTTAATAATTTATATTCAAACATCTAAAACTATTATTTTAGTAAAAATAATTCATTTACAGTGATGTGAATGGCTAGTGCTTTAAGAGCAGTAGCTTTGCAGTTTTAAGGTAAAAAATTGAATTGCAATTCAAAACCAATTTAATGTAGTACAAATCACACTGAAAAACACATTTTTTGTTGCATTTTTACAAATACTTGATCTTGCCGGATTCGGCTGTGGTGAACTCAAATAGAAAATCAGTTATGTTCCTAAAGACAGATATTTTCTTCTTCTTTAAATGACATTTTTACTCCATATTTTAATTTTTACTCCATTAAGTTTAAAAACATTAAAAAATAACAGGAGATAGGCTAATTTCTTTTGTGACAAATTTGCAGGGGTGTTAGGCCATATCATAATAAGAACCAATGTTTGGAAATGCCTCTGTACGCAGCTAGGGGCGCTTTCTTATTATTGCCAGTTCAGCGGCACACAAAGGAACAGTTAATAATTTAGGAAGCGTCCCTAGTCGTGTATGACAATATTTCCAGGCCTAAGCAGCTTTAATTCTGATGATATGCCCTAAACCCTCAGAAGTTTGATGCAAAATTTATGCGACCCCTGTTATATATAATGTTTTAAACTTGCACATGTTGGGAAAAAAAAGATTAAAAATGTAATTAAAAAGAAAAAAAAAACTAGCTTTGAGAGAAAAACCGTTGCAGATTGTAAATCAGAGGTAGAAAAGTAGTTTTTGAAGTTTTGACAATTTCCAATTTTTAAAAATAATTAGTTTTGTCTGTTATTTAAAAAATAATTTCTAGAGAGTGTTTCCATAATCACAGTTCATTACCAGTTCAATTCCTTAACCATAGCTTAAAAATAATTTATTACTCTTTTCATTTATTTCCTTTTTTCATCTCAAAGAATTTTCAATCACATCAATGAAGCTAAAATCTAAATTGAAAATTCAAATATGGATTCGAATATTCATCTGTTTTCAATGTCATTAGATTGTTGATTGCTTCATTTGAAACTAAAAAGGTAATTAAAAAAATTGTAAACTCAGAATTAGGTTGACTGTTCAACTTATAAAATAAAAACTTCACTTTGATAATTTACAAAAATGGGGTGAAACTTCCTAAATCAGATAAATTTTTACATTGGACTTTAATCTGATGCAGAGTACAAAATTCCTTAAGTAAGAATCAATGGAAGCATTTTATTTAAATAAGAATGGATGGAAAATTTTGGAAGAGATGCATACACTTAAATTTTTAACAAAAGCACACAAAGTGATTTAGTTCTTTTGTAGTAAATAGTTTCCTTCTTTATAAATTTCAATACAAATAATTTTTTCTTGATAGATTTCACTATGATTTAATACAACCTGCATTGCTTATAGAAGTTATGCTATACAGCAAATGCTATCTAAGAACGTTTACCAAAGATCTATTGCTCTTTGATACATAGGAAAGCAAATTTCCTAGGGAAGTATTTGTTTGAAAAACCACATAACGCAGTCAAAATAGAAGATAAAAAAAAATCATAGTTCTTAGTTAGTTAGATTCAGTTTGTTTGAATGCAAACAGTCTATAATAAGTTAAATACAATTAGTTCAGAATTGCTTTTAATAAAAATTATAACTTCTGACAAGCTATTTACAGATTAAATCACAAATAATAAATAAAAGGATTTGAAACTTACATTGCAGCTATGATTGATAAACCTCGCTAGATTGCCACATCTAGTAGCATCAATAATGCCCTCAACATCAACTTTAAACAAGTATGAGCTTCCAACACCTTGTAAAGTGTAGTTTTTCTCACGCATGTCAGCAACAAGCGGTCGGACCATTTGTCCAACATATTCAATCACCATTTCATCTGCAGCTATAGGCTCGAGAGCAAACAGACCCCAGTCATGAATTCTACTTCGGGCGAATTTCAATTGCTTCTTTCGGAACTAAAAAGATATTTTTATATATATATATTTAATATATATTTAATACTATAAACACAGAAACATACAAAAATGTAGATTATTATTGAATGAAATTTGTATTTTTGTAGGTTCATGACTGGCTAACTTGCTGACTCAATCATGTACTTAAAGTTTTTTTTATATAAAGGTCTTTCACCATGCAAATAGAAAAAGCCACTACTTGAAGGCATTAAACTTAATAAAGGTAAGTGATATATAAAAGGTATCTGCCACTTTTTAGATTTTCAAATTCATGACTACTTCCTAGAATTTTTCATAACTTAACGAAGTTACTATTTTCTCCGACAAATACACAACAAGAAATTAAAAAAAGCATTATAATAACATAAATTGAAATGATAGGCATAACCAAAACTGTTATACTCTGCATTGTTATATTTAAAGATTTTAAATTAAAAAAAAAACAGAGTAAAGAGAGAGTTGAAGCAATAAAATAGCTGAAAAAAATACAAAAGTAAATAATTTTTTTCGGCAGAATTATATTCTAAAGATACTTTTCTTGTTACATTTAAATTGATAAAAATAAATAAATAAATAATAACAAAAATTCTGAAATCACAGAAGTTTAAAAGACAATTCACTCTAGAAATTATGTCTTTTCTCTCAATTTTTGAAAGAACACCATAATTTTTAAAGAGCATGATATACTCTATTATATATTTTACTAAAATATGACTGTTAGTGGGGATTTTATTACAAATTCAGATATTTGGAACACCATGAAATGTGTGTGTGTGTGTGGGGGGGTATTTTTAAATTCCATTTTAAAAATTAGACTTTTCAGCGACCTAAATCTATGACCTTTCTTAAAAAAAAAAAAAAAATTAATTAAAAAAAAGAAGAAAAAAAAAAGAAGTTAAAATCATGACACTTCATGACAAATTTTGTTCAACACCGGAATTCATGACTTTCCAGGTGGGCAAAATTTATGGTAACCAGGTTAGGGTAAACAAATGTTGTACTTATTTCCAATGTATGTAAGTTGGACAAGTAAATTTTTGTTATATAAATGTAAAAACAGGCATGTGTATCATAAATGTGTTTTCTTATAAAGAATCTGGATTAAGCTGCATAAAAAAAATCGTTCAACCTGATTATGACAACTAATAGTTTCATTATAAAGCATAGATCAGTTAATGATGAATCAAAAGTCATAATGATCCCTTTTAAAGCACTTAAGGAGATTAGAAACATATTTTCATGTTTCCTATAAGTATATATAAGCAAGAGTTTTCTTTTTCTTAAATAGAAACTGAAATCAAGCTGAAAGAAAAGAATTCTGTGACATTATAATATGAAATAGTTTCATTATAAAATATTTTTTAATGCACTCTTATAAATAAACATAAAAGAAAAATATTCTCAATTACTTTCAGCTGATTAAATTTAAGAAGATCACTATAAAAATCAGCTTCTCCAAATGAGGTTAACAACCTTCTCTGGTTAGATCTTGCTTCCCTGTTTGATTGTGCAGTTGTTTTGGCTTTGTTAGCAGGGTCCTAATAAAATAAGAAACTTATTAGCGGGTCACCAGTAAAGTTGATTCACAATACATCACTTTAACATATTTACACTAATGCATACACACTATCCAAAAGGTTACAAATTCATACATAAATAAAATGTTTTGAACGTTAATGGTTTCACAAATGTCACCAATATTAGAGATTTTCTAACACAAAAGAAAGTACATTGATTTAAAAAAAAATAAAATGATACAACTAAAACATAATTTTGTTTAAACTTTTTGTTTTGAACAAATTAACATAATTACAAAATATACTTTACTACAAAAGTATAAACACCAAAAGAGTAAACTATAAAAATAGTTTGAAAAATTATCAATTTTTTTTCATTCTTTTACCTGTTCACCATCCATTTCTAAAGAGGGCATTGCACTATTATATACACATGCTTTCTCTTTGACATCAAGCTTGTAATAACCTTCACACCTAGCACAGCCAGACAAATGTGTTCTTGTACTATCATCTTTCTTCTTTTTCTTAGGTGGAGTTGGAATGCTAGGTAAGTAACATTAAGGAAAGGACTAAAACATTGAAATTCACAACAATACACATTATGGATTTAATGAAGACCTCAGGGGGTAAAATGTGATAACCAACATTTTTTCAAGTTTAGAGATAAACAAATATAAAATATTACATATGGATTTTTTTCTTCATATTATTACCACCATTATCGTATCACTTCACATTCAGTTTCATCATAAGTTTTTATTATAGAATTTCTTTTTATGAATATTAAGTGTTTAGTTTAAGCATTATTTTATCTCAAAAATAATTTTCTTATTATATTATGTAAATAAACCTTAATAAAGTTATAAGTTTTTTCTTGATTTTTTATTTCCTTAAATAATGTAATTTATTAAACCCTAACTTAGCATGTAGATGCTTTCAACATTTTACCAAAATGTAGCCTTTTAACATTTTTTAAAAGTGTTTTTTATACAATAAGGCACAAGGTGAAGAGAAACATTCCAATTTTTTTAACTTAACCTTTTAGCAGAACTTAAATTAAAATAAAAAATTAGTTTCATAAATAAAAATACATGCTTTCACATAAGTTTTTGATTAATAGATTTTAACTTACACCGAAGAGCCATTACATTATGACCACCCTCCATCTATATCAATGGGCTCCATCTATATCAATGGGCCGCATCTATTCATGGTTTCTCACCCAGGAACAATGTTTTCATGGGGCACATTAGTACCCATAATCCTACATTGAGAGGCCTTCAAAGAGCTATT